CATACTCCCTGCCTGCTCTCAGCACTGCTTTCAATAGCCACAGAATTACCTTTACCCATTTTGGGGGTGTCCAAGGGAGCAGCCCCCAAAGTGGCTTCTACACCATGCAAATATGACAAAGTCCTTCCCACGGCTTGGGTTGTGTGTCTCCGCAGGTCCCACGGGAAAGCACCTGCATCTTTTGCCAGGGTCCATGGTGACTTACACAGCCTGAAAATCCAGCCCAACATGCCCCCACCTACAAAACACAGTAGCTGTGACGCAAATGGGAAATAAATGGGCAATCAAATAAAAAAAAGAATACCAAACGCTATATTCTTCTTGAGTTCCTGCAGCCAGGTAGCATCAAATGGGAAGTGCTGCCTCCATAAATAACACCACCGCTACAAATCCAGGTCTTCAGCTACGTGTTGGGGCTTTTTCAACAAAGTGCTACTATAATTGGAATAAAAGTCCTTAAGTGAACATGATTTAATATCAGAGACACCGAACACTTCAGTCAAAAATAAACCTGATTTCTTTTTTCCTCCTTCTGTAGGCAAAATCTGATTTTTGTTTTCTTTCATTGTTGCAGTCTGTTTCCATGGCGGTGCGTTAAACACTTATTAATTTCTCAGCCAAAGCCCTACCGTTCAGATTTATGACGGCTGGTGTTTTATGAACTATCCGCTGCACAATAATATTTTGTAAATCTACATTCCACAAACATCACTGTGCTTGAAGTAAAGCTTCACACTCAGCTAGGCTGGGCGCTCAACAATACCCTCATTTTTAATCAGTCACCTGTTTCTCATTTTAAGTTTATCACACTTGAAAAAATACTATAATTTCTAGAGTTGTAAAGAAACCTACAAACTTTGGTCTCAGAAATTTCATTTCGAAGGCATTAACTCATTTTGAAAGTCCCTTGGCTATTTAAGGTGTAGAGTTTCCATTAACAGAATAAACTCCGTGGAGTATGGAGCGTAATGTTCTTATGGAAAACAGTCCCTTCCCCTAATTATTTAGTCTAGCAGGGAATGAAAATAATTAAGTCTCAAAATTCCCTCTGGGGGGGGGGCGCGGGGGAATATGGGAGGAAAATTAGCTTTTTTTCCACCCAGCTACCGAAAGGAGCCGAGCCACGGTGGGCACAATCCTTAGCTGGAAGGTGGGAGTGAAGGTGCGTTAAAGGTTTGCAGCAGCCGCAGGCGGGCTCCGGCTCACGGGTGAGGGTGCAGGGATGTCCTTCGGAAACTAGCACAGCTACAGCCACCCTGAATTATCTTTTCTTTCCAGGTGTTACTGCTGAGGCTTAAATTTAAGGCTTTTCACAACTAAAATGAAGTTATAACAAAAAGATGATTGCTGGCTGTAAGTGGCCGTCAGCGCTGAGGATGCCCGCATCCAGCGCTCAGTTAATAAGGGGTCTAGATAAAAAACCAGAAGATATCCTGCTAACTGCTTCTTCTTATACTTCTTGCACCCAGATCGGAGGGCACGGATCAGTCCCCCGGGTTCTGGCCGTGCCGGGGGTGCAGGGGGGTCACCAGCCCCGCCAGGAGCTTCAACATGCAACAAGGGGACGTTTAAAATAAAACAAAGAAATGGTGTTTTTGAAATTTAAAGGAAAAAAAAACCAAACCGAGCAGGTGAGTCCGCCCGAGCAGAAGTAACGCTGGGTGAAAAGGAGCTGACGGAGCCACAAGCGCCATGAGTGTAAACCCAGCAGAACTGGGATGGGGCACAAGAAATGGAAAAAAAAAAAAAAGGCAAACGGTCACTTCAGTTCCCTTACGCAGGGAAAGCGCTAACAGCAAACAAGGAATAACTGAAGAAATGTAAATAGCAACAGGAATTGGTGACTGACGTGAGAGCCCAGTGCAGGATCCGACCCTGCGCCCACCACCCCAGCTCAGGGAGGTGTGAGCACCCACCTGTGCCCCCAGGCCTCGCCTTCACACCTGGGTGAAAATCCGAATGGTGCCAATGTCCCAGGTGTTTGGATTTGGCTCGCCAAAACCCGAAACGTGACCCACAACCTGGGATCCAGAGTGAAACGGGGTGTTGGGTTTTGGTCTGAGCCAAAACGAGCATTTGTAAATTGTTATTTTTATTTTACGCCACCCAAAAATACACTAGACCCATGAAAAACTTTTAAAGCAAAGCTAATGCCAGAGCAAAGGCAGCTGACACATAAAACCAGTGCTGGATCCTGATCTTTTCCTACTATAAACTAGCTGCTAAAGAGTGAAAACAGAGTCTGTGCTTTGGTTAAACCAAGGTAACGCATGAATCAAGACCCTGTTCAACAAGATCTATAGCACCGTGTGTTCAACACAGCATCCACGCTGCTGTGTAATTACTTACTGGACCTGCTTGTATTCCTCGGTACGCTCTGCAATCGTCATCCTATAAAAACTAACAAAGATAAAGATTTGCTTTTGGTTTTGCTTTAAATTCCTGAACATTTCACTTCCTCACCTGTTACAGAATACAATAAAAAAACCTATTCACCACCTGGAGCAAAGTAGTGTTATCCTAGCCACATCTCACTTCATTATTTTCATTTTAAAATGAGTTCCTGTGTTCAACTACCTTATTTTAATTTTTTTTAACACCACCAATGCCACAAAGCTTAGAAGAGATGCAGCCCATCTATGGCAAAATCTTGGACAGCAAGACATGATATACATTTTCTTGATTTTTAATCTGTTACAATGTCTTGTTTTCAGCCTCAGTCACGGTGAGTACCAGGAGCAATGTTTATGGCACTGGGGGACATGTGGTAATAAACAGCTCTGGGATTATCAAATGCTTCTGTCGCTCCGTGAACCGCGAGAGCCGTTTATTGCCAGCAGCCACCAGATGGTCATGGCTTCTGGCTGCTGGCACCAGGGGACACCTAATTCAAACTGGTGACTCGGTGTCTAAAGGTCCCAGGTTCTGCTAAAACCCCTGGGGTCAGCCAACACTCAGGTCTGACTTTCTTTCTTTTTTTTTTTCTTTTTTTTTTCTTTTAATTAAAAAAAAGCAATGCAAAGGAACACCCCACAATGAACGCCGCTCGGTGAATTTATGGCACTGAGCCTGGGGGACACGAGCAAAGTTTGGAGAGACTCTGTTGATAAATCCACCCGAGATGGAGCCGACGCAATGCAGGTTCTCCGGTCGCTCTTCCACCTCAGCCTCGCAAATGGTGCCCCAACACCATCTCCGCGACGAGCTCCCGAGGGACCCAGCTCCTGCTGGATCCCGGTGGGCGAGCCCTGTCGCTGGGCTGAATTTCTGCCCGCTGTGAGCTCCGGCGTTCGTTAGCACCCTACTGAGGCACCCACCGCCTTCGCCACGCGAGCGGTTGCAAAAGTGCTGGGGCTGCACCGTGCCCCTTCCCTGGCCATCAGAAAGGTGCCACCTCCATGGGGTCTTCTGAGCAGTCCCCAAAAAGGAGGTGGCAGGGAGCGGCGGGGAGGTCCAGCTCGCTGTCACAAGCTGCGGACCCTACTTTGGCTGATAAATGCACGTGCAGTCGAACAAAGGTCCGTAAAAACAAAGAGAAAACACGGCCAAAACAGGAACGCAACCCGGAGCAAAGAGGTTTCACGTGCCCCTCTCAACACCACCGAGCGAGACCAGCTGATGCGCAGCATCAGCGCGCTGCTCCTCGCACGGAAAGCCAACCCCAGCGCAGCTCATCGGAGCTAAAACCCCTCCGTACGCATTATTAAAGCTGGATCCGTCTGTGGCAAGGGCTGTGCCGGTCTAGCCCAGCACGCCTTTTGTAGCAATAATTAACAGAGGTCCCCGCAAGCCCTCCTGGACCGGAGCCAAGGCATCATTATTTGTGTGTGACAGATCCTCTGCTTGGGTAACCCAGCAAACTGTGACACCACCCTATAACGCGCCCTGAGCTATAAACCATCATTTATGGGAACTCCGGTACGGCTGTGAGTCTCTGGGCTATGGGCAGGATCCTGCCAGGAGTGCCTGCTAGCTCGCTCTGTGATGCTGCACCTACGGGAAAATGGGTTCTCAAATGAAAATATGTGCAAAAACCCCAAAATAACTGTTCTTACAGAGGTCTTGGCTCCTGTACTCGGAGGGAGTATGTTCCCATCAGCCTGTACTGATGCTCTGATAAGGTGCCTGTGCACTATGAGACAGGGCTGGGTGCCTGGGGAACCCCAGAAATGCGGTTATTAGAAGTACTCAAATATGATGATGGGCAACTCAGTGGTTGTATTCCAACCTGTGCTTCTGCTCTGTTTTTTTGCAGGTTATATACATTCAGCTCAGAGTATGAACCATCCTGGGTTTGCACATTTATACCACCTTGGGATGTATAAACCGTCTCTGAGGAAGTGGTTTGGTGAAACGTGGAAGTTCTTAGTGTCTTGGCTGGAAAAGGAGTCTCTCCTCAGAAGGGCTGGGGGATGCACTGCGCTAAAGCTGAAAAACTTCAGCAGGGTTCAAGAGGAAGTTCATTTCACATGGTGCTGTGAACTTTCAGCCTTGTTTGCAGTGCATCCTAAGAGCCTCAAATGGAAAATATTAGCAAGAGCATAATATTACTTGAGTTGATCCAAAATTCCCTTAAAATGTTTTCTCAGCTAAAAATAACTTCATCAACAAAATACACTTTTGTGAAAAATTTCCTTTTGTAAAAAACCTTGGGGTTTCATCTGTGCCTTTTGCTTGCTGATGTTTGCTTTGCCTCTTCACTGAAAACACAAACAATTCCAAGACAAGTGTCCACAAACCCAATCCTTTCTGCCGGACTGTTTTGTCTTTGAAATACCTCAGTAGGCTGGTAGAAATGGTAGTTTTGATCTGAGCTCACAAAGTGATAATGGCAAAAAATCTAAAGGTGTCCTCGTATTAAACCCACCCTATTTAAAGACCACTGGGTACCGTCAAACACAAAACCCAATCCATCACCAGAAACCACGCGTGTACGTCCAAGATAGGAACAACACGGAGTCTGGGTACTTCCAGCTCCCTCGGCAAAACTCCAAGCTTACCGTGGGGGTGCTCGGCCCGCAAATGGGTTCGTGGCCATCAAGGACAAGGTCTCCTCCTCCTGGGCCAGCAGCTTCCCAGCCAAGTGGATTATCCATTCATTCTGCTCATAGGTCTTGGGAAAGGAATAAGAAATATAAACATTAGGCATTGCTGGGCTTGTCATGTAGTGTTATTAGCACAAAAGACTTCTATGTGGTCTCTGGGGAGAGATTACAACCGGTTTGGGTAGCAAACGTTGAATATCCCAGTGTTGCAGGGAACAGATCCCGTGGGATCCAACACCTTGAGCTCCAGACCGAGACCCCCTGGCACCTGCGGGGAGCAGGGAGAGCTTCACTGAGCTCGTCTCGTCTGGAAATCATCCCCGAGGGTACGGACACAACCGAGGGTACGCAAGTCGCAGAGGTTTAATGAGTCGTTCGTTAGCTGAGCTGGGACAGCTACGTGCACTCTCCCAGCCTGCCCCAACTGCAAAGTAGCATCCTCCATCTCAAGCATCCCCAAAGGAATTCACATCACAGCTGAGAGGGGCGAAAAGCGTGCCCACGGCCAGCGACCACAGCCCATCTAATGATTAGAGACTAGGTGACGGTCAGGGATGCATCTCCACCTTCGCCTGGCCCGGACAGTGACCTCTGCTCAAGGTGTGATGCCTGAGGGGCATTTCTGCCAGCCCTGCATCCCTGCTGAGCCTGCGGCACTGCTTTGTCCCAGTGCCAGGAATAAGCCTACAACTGGTGCTACCAGGAAAGCGCGGTGCATTGCCCCTCAGGGAGACGCGTAGCTCACACCTTGTCCTTCCCTGGGGACACGGCACCCACCACCCCTGGTTCTCCCCAACACCCACCACCTGCTGCTCCTCCTCCATCTTAGATCACAAATCTCTTTTTGACTTTACATGTATCTACCATAGCTGGAGGTGCTCTTGCCTATTGTGCCACCCAAACGCTTGATTTTAATCATTTCTTATAGCTGCAAGCTCCGCAGAGGAACAGTAACGTCACATTTTGAAATGACGATCCATCCATCATTGTAAACCAGGCTGCTTTCCCCTGTTGTGTTACCAGAGAGAACACAGAAGAAAGTGACTTTTCTATTCCTGATTCCTTTCTCTTCTTTATTTCCTGTAATCTAATCTATCCTCTTTACATCCCGTGCCTGTGCCATACTCTTAATCATGCAGCCGCTGAGAGGGAGCAGACCAGCTCTCGGGAGCCACAGTCCAAGCTGCAGTGGCAGAACTCGACTCTGCATTTGCCTCCCTCCACGAATCCATGCTTCCCATGCTCTTTGCAGGGATTCTTGCTGAGGCTCCATAAAATCCATTTTCCCTTCTGTGACTTTTTGTGCCTTATACTTCCATTAAGATTTTTTTTTTCCTCCTTTTTTTAATGTGTACCTAAATGGATTTTTTAATGCAAGCAGTAGGGGACACTGTGGGAAAGCGAAACCCAGCAGCTGTACCTGCAGGACTGTGACTAATGCAGAACATCAAGGCAAAGTTACTCGGCAAATCTTTTCTAATGGTAAAGTTTGTTATTTCCGTTGCTAAGGGAAACAGAGGAGAGAAACGAGATGGAAAACACCAAACGCTCGGGGAAAGGCCCATCAAGCAGCAGCTCTACCTCTCAGGGTTTCTGACCCGTGCTCATCACAATTTAGAGGAAAACCACAGTTATTTAAGCCAACAACTTTTTAAAAAAGATTACTCTCCCCATCCGCCTGCTTCCGTCCTGCCTCACCGCGCACGGATGGGTGGTGGAGCCAGCGATGTTTCCCACTGCCAGCCCCCCGCCATCCTCTGCCCACCCCAAAGCCCCGTCTAAGCTCCGGCGCACCCCTCCTGCCACCGACACCCCCTGCCATCCCCTCCCTCCCATCTCCCGGTCCCCTTCCCGGCGCAGAGGAGGTGGTGGCGGCTCTCAAGATTGGGACGGGGCAACCTCAGCCCCCGCAGGACCGAGGCCACCGTGGCCCTGGGAGGGCTCGCCGTGGCGAGCCCTGGAGCCGGGAGCTTGGCATCACGCGAGATGTTAAACATAAACCTTGCAAGTCTTGCAATAACCCTGCCAGGGCTGGCAGGGCTGCAGGAAAAGCCGGCAGCATCCCTGCCAAGGGCCTGACTGCATCGTCACAGGACGACTCACGCCAAAACTTCCAGCCCAGCAGCTCCGTGCCCCTCAAGGGCTCCGCGATGCCCGAGATGTTCGGGAGGGGGGTGCCACGCTGAGACCTGCAGCCCGGGGAATCCTTGGCCGTGAGCAGGGACCTCCCGAGAGGTGCGACAGCAGTTGCAGACGATCAAGTGTCGCGAGTCAGACCTTCAGCATCTTGTGCCTCCCTGGAGAGCCCTTTTTAAAGCGCTCTGTGTGATTTTAAGTGCCATTTCCAGGAGGGCCTGGGACGTGTGAGGGTTCTGTGTGCGAGCTGGGGAGAAGCTGGAGAAGAACAGAAACAGAAATCACCAGACTCCCGGAGCTAGAGCTTTATGGAGGACCCCAAATCTTCAAAGCCCGATTCAAAACCGGGAGGGCTCTGTAACAGTGGAATCGGCTCTCTGGCTCACATGGTCTCCAAATTGTTAATTAGCAGCTCCATGCGCATGAGAGTTGGACTTCTGGTTTGTAAAGTGTTTTTCTTGTAAAATTTACAACATGTCTGGCCCCAGCAAAGTCTGCGGTGAGAAATTTCCACCCGGTGCAGCCCCCCACACTCCCCCCAGCACGAAGGCTTAGATATCGCACGCCGCCGATGCTCGGAGCATGCAGGAGCCGAGCTGCACTAACGACTGCGCTGTTTAACTCATTACTCTGTAAAGTGATATGGTGGCAAAGGGAGGAAAAAAAAAGAGTCCAGGAGATCTGGGCTGCGTCCAGGGAAGGATCACACCACAAGGTGGGAAGGTGACAGTTCCTCTGTCTGTGGCTCCAGTGAGACCCAGACCCAAATGCTGTTTTGCAGAGCTGCGACCGTCAGGATGGGAGGGATTCGCCTGGCGTTGCACTCTGCTTTTGCCAGCTCTGAGCGTGCAAAACAGGAGAGTCAGACCTTGAACCATCCAGTGGATTAATAAAAAAGCCAGGACAGATGCACATATTACTTTAAGGTGGGCATGCATGCACGCATTGGGTTCATCTTTAGGTTTTGGATCTTCACCGCGCACAAAGACAGGCAGCTGGGGACTGACCCTGCGCCGCCGTCAGGACACGGGCACGGACCGAGACTCCCACGCCAGGCTCCTGTCCTCCAAAACCTGGGGATGCAGCTCCCCTCGTGCCACGCAGGGCCCATGCCATACCCATGCTGGGATTACTGGGGAACCAGTAACCTGCACAGCCTGCTGCTACAAGTGACTGGTCAGAGCATGTCGAAATGTGCCCCGAGCTGCACAGCTCGCTGTCTGACCCTGAACAGAGCATCCCTGGGGAGGTGCAGACCCCCCAAAGGAGGGACATGCCTCTCTCCTTTATCTTCTGAGAGTTTTCTTTCTGTTTTAGCATAGAAAGCAACTAAGGAACCTAAACAGATAAAAACCCCATCATCAACCCAACTCAAATGCCTGAGAATGGCAGCTCGGGCAGAGGGAAAGGTTTCCAAAGCAACTCTACCTTCACCACAAAGCTGAAGCCTTTCTGTGTTCCCGGACAGTCCGTGCAAACCCACAGAAATGCAACAGGCGCAACTCTCCAGCAAACCAGATGTCCTTACTGTCCTTAACTGTCCTTACAGCTGGTACGAGCACTCAAGACCTCCGAAAATCAGGTTTTAGGTATAACACAGTGGACTAACAAAGAGGACATCACTGCGCACCCCAGGGTACCACGACCTCCCGGGAGCAACACTGCCCCAAGCCAACTCTCCAACTGTTTATATTCTCTGACCTCTCCACCTATATGCTCTACCAGTGTATAAACACGGCATTCTCACCTTGAATACATTAACTTGTATACAAAAGTATTTAATAACTTTACAGAATAAAAAACCAAATCACTGCGAAGTCAGGCAACAGCGAGGAGCTGGGGGCAAACCAGACGCAGTAGCGACGAAACTCTGCAGAGATAACAAAGAGAATACAATCATCGCAAAAAATACATATAAAAACCACCCAGCGCTACAGGGAACATGTTCCCAACTGAAATAATAATAATAAGAACCCTTTTCCTCTAGCTTTAATTGGTCATTTAATGAAAAAGGACTGTGGATTAGTGTGGCATTTTATTGAATCTCAGTCCTGGCACAGGCACACGGGAGGAGGTAAGTATGAGATGCACATGTGGAAACAGCTGGAAACTTGGCACAGGAGCCCAGCATTATTATTTCACATGGTTGGGAGCCCTGCACGGTTTCACATTGGCCTCGGTGTGCGAGGGCGGGTGACCGAGGGGTAGGGGAGGTTTACATTTCCCGCGCTATGTCGTAAGGGGCATTTTTCACGTCACAGCCTACCCACTGCGGGATGTAAAGCAGTAACTCCACTGTCCTGGATATTTTCACCCAATATTCACATTGCCGTTTACACTGCTGTTTCCACTTCTGTAGCTGAGCGCCTTCAGCTGTTGCCGTTTAGAGAACTTGCGCTATCAGCTGGAGAAACAATCCATGTCCCACAGAAAAGGGCATTACTAATGCAACCATTTGCCTTTTTATAATATTCCAGCTCACCACCATTTGCTACCATCCCGCTACCCAAGCGACTTAACCAAGGAAGGTCAAAGGCTACGTCAGGTCGCATCACTTCTCATTATCTCCAATAACCACATCCCCTTCTTTCTACTAGTTTCCCAGAGAGGCAAGCCGTTTCTCCGCAGGTCTGGCTCAACGTATAGTATTTCAGCGGGGGCAGTTTCTCAAGCCTCGCTAAAAGCCATCCCTTAGCCCGTCCTATTAGAAAATGCTTGGGAAAGCAGCAGGTCCCCGGAGGAGGCTGGTGCAGTGCAGAGCGCGGCAGGTCCGGGCCGAGGAATAAAAGGCGGAGCAAGACTTTGGGAACCGGCTCTTCGATCTTGCCTACACAGGGAAATCGTGCACCTGGCATCGCTCCCGTATCACCTCTGTATTTGGAAAGAAAAGTCACTTTGTTCCAGAATAGAGTCTAGACAGGGAGATACAATA